TAATTAAACTACTCTTGGTTTTGGAATGAGACAATTGATTCTGAGCCATACCTGGGCATATTCTTTCTTTATACTCTTCCCATTTCCATGATAAATATACACAGCCCCTCGATGATCGTCTTCTAGAGGAGCACCTATGACTATATCATTAAAACCATCAAGGTTGAGATCCTTTACGGGAGCAATTGATGTCCCAAAACGAGCTCCGCATGGTTCATTTTTGTTGTGATTTGTGCAATCCTTCTCCTTGTGTACCAAACAGCAAGTCTGCTTTACAGGCTCAAGTGTCATCTGATATTCAAAGGTTTTCTGTTAAGGAAGAAATAATGATCAAAAAGATCTATCTGATTTGTATTACAAGTTCTTTTGATAGCGTAGACATGCAATCAATTGATGTTAGACTCTCACTTGAATTCTCAATCCATATGAGTTTTTTAGAATCATTACCTGGTTCAAAGAATAAATGTACACCTTGCCTTGCTCGTCTTTCTCGGTCCCCATGTACATAGGTGCTCCCACCAGAAGAAGATCTGTATATGTATCCTTATCAATATCAATTGTTGTGATAACACTTCCAAAATACGATCCGATCTGTGATTTAAAAAATAGCACCCCATTGATACATGTTAATGTATAACAACATTGGCATTATATAATCCACAGGTCCTCAAACATCACGGTATCATGAGCCTGAAAATGATAAATATTTTTTTTGTGATTTCCCCCACCAGTGAATAAAGTAATGATTTAATTCGGATTAAGATTGGATAGGAATTAAACAATTAAACCATCTCTTTTTTTTTCAATGGCAAGGGTGAGATTACTTAGTTTTTCAGAGTTTTTGTGTTTGCATGTGCGTGTGCAGATGCACACAGAAAAGAAAGAAAGAAAACAAACTTATTTCAGGTTGAGGAAATAAAATCAACAGATGGCCACTAAGGAAAGAAAATTATGCATTACATAATCCCCCTGTCTCCCCACTTTGCTAAGTAATATAATTCATAACTTGTATGGGTTGTGTATAACTTTTAATATTGAAAAATATATTAATATGAAGTGGGGGTCAGGACGAGGACTAGATAAACTATTTTGAGGCCCTTGATTTGAAATTGAAAAATGTGACTTAGAACCCTAAGAATTATTAAAAATATAGAGTTATTCTGCTCCAACACAACAACACAAAGAAACTAAGCTGGGGCCATGCCTCTATTTTAGTACCCAAGCAGAGGTTGGCTGTTACTAAAATCCGAATATTAAGAGAAATACAAAAGCATAATCCATAAGTCGCATAGGTGCAGAGGTGAAATTCAGTCTGTACATATTCAGTGCTGTTTCAGTGCTGCTACTCTTACATAAAAATGCCTTTCTTCAAACATGACATTCTGTAATTTGTTGTGTTACAAGTTGCTGCTGAAAAATTGTATTTAGTTGTGCATGCAAGTTTTGCTATGCACTATGTGAAACTTTCCTTAGTATAGACATTTTTAATACGGACATTTTGAACTGAAAAATTGCATCATAACGAGGTAGTTAGAAAGTGCAAATAAATTCAGTTTCTTTAAGAATGAAGATAAAATAAAAAAATCCCAATATTCCTATAAAAGAACTTAAAACATGTACTGTATATTAGTAATTGTTAAAATAGATATACAGTCATTGACAATTGATGTAATAGCTTTGAATGAAATCATTACTTGTAATTCTTTTCTTGAGTAAATGTGTGGTGCACATAACTTTATTATTTAATTAACATTAAAAATGGAAATATAGTGAGGATGTGCTTATTGATTTTTTTACCTCCAGTGAAAGACTTTCCAGCAGTAGATTAGGGTCATAATACATACTTACCTGTTCACCACTTAATTTCTGAAGTATTTCTATTTCAGTGTCCTTCATTCTATATATGATAACTTGACCGGTGTGATTATAACGAGGTTGCCCTGCAATGTATAGCAGATCTCCAGGTACTGAAGCTGAATTGACTGTGTAACCTAAGGAATCAGAGAATAAGCACTCATTATAGTCATAGCATTTAATAGCTACTTTTGCTTTACATGCATACATTTGTCTTAGAGCAAATTGCCTACGTGCCCAACCTTTTCTGAGTTTCCATTCACAAAATCTGAAAGGAATTTGTCAATATTGATTCTTCTTTACCAAAATGTCTCCTTTTTTATGCCTATCTGTAGAAATAGTTTCCACCAACTTATAAAGAACAGGTATTTCTGGTTTCCTAAGGATATCTATTTAAGAATCCTTGTTATGCCAGCCTTCCCCAATATGAGTGCCCTTCAAATATATGAATATCAGCTTCCAGATTTCATTCCAAGCTAGCTGGTGGTTTCTGAGAGTTGAAGTTTGGATAGCAGAAAGATGTATTATCCACATTTTAATTATCTGGTTCAGAAGGAACATTTACCTTCTCCCAATAGCTTGTGCCTATCCACTAAAAGAAAGTTTGAATTGTCTCTGTTCTCTGAAATAGCATCCTGCTGGAATCAGTTTGTCATGTATACTTTTGGTGTTCCATAAGCTAATTAACTGAACACATCAGTAATTTTATATTATTTAAGAACTCCTAGCTGAAGAATATGTAAACTCAGTTATTTGTATGCTTCCAGTTTGTGGGAAAATTGAAGACTTCATAACTTCTTATTATTTAGGACAGAGAATCTAAGAGATGACCTTGAGGAAATAGGCAAGAACTGTCATATAAACAAAGAGGGCTGAAGCATTCCTTAAATTCTGGGAAAGAAGATTGTATTTGAAGA